TTTTGCCTTTTGAAACATTCCTCTAAGTTTCTGAAGCCAAAGCCTGTTGGCCTTCAGAATAGGGAATCATGTGATCGGTTTAAGTAGAATTTTGCTTAATAATAAGGCAGGCTTTAGTGAAAAAATTGACAGCTCTGATTATTTGCACTGTCTTTAGTTTTATGTGTATCAGAAGTTCAGACAATGAAAGCTTCATATTTTAACTGATACTTACATTTACTTGGAATATTATTCATCATCTAGGATATATAAATAGAAATATCAAAGTAAAACTAAAGTGTTATTTTTAATTTATAAAATAGTTATTAGTAAACCAAGACTCTAGTTCCTAGCCTAGATATATATCTTAGGTTATTAATAACTTTAAATATTAAATAACAAATTATTACTTTGCAAAAGTTGGTCAAAGGCTACATTCTACCTCAAAATAATATTGGAGAATGGATATTGACCAAGTTTAATTTTTCTAAACCATCATTAGAAAAGCTTTTTGTATTTCAGGAAGAAAACTGTATTTTGCTGAATATATTAACAGATGCTTTCAACAACATCACTTATTTAAAACTTTGTGTTTCCAAACCAGATATGTAAATGTAAGCGATACTGATGAAAATTCAATTACACATTTATAAACTACAAGTTTATACTTGTAGTATTACAACAAACTAAATCTCAAAGCGTTCTCCATTGTCATATGATAAAATCCGAACTTCAGCATTTCACACAAAGCCCTACATGACCTTATGACCTGCTGGCTCTTGTGAACCCTTCCAGCCTCATCTCGCACTGTTTGTGGCCCTCCTTTGTTATTTTCTAAATTTGGTAATTTTTTTTTTTTTTTTGAGACAGTGTCTCACTCTGTCACTGAGGCTGGATTGGAGTGGCACAATCTTGGTTCACTGCAGCCTCTGCCTGTTGGGCTCAAGCGATTCTCCCCTCAGCCTCCCAAGTAGCTGGGACCACAGGTATATGCCATCATGCTCAGCTAATTTTTTTTTGTTTTGTTTTGTTTTTTGAGACGGAGTCTCGCTCTGTCACCCAGGCTGGAGTGCAGTGGCCAGATCTCAGCTCACTGCAAGCTCCGCCTCCCGGGTTCCCGCCATTCTCCTGCCTCAGCCTCCCGAGTAGCTGGGACCACAGGCGCCGCCACCTCGCCCGGCTAATTTTTTGTGTTTTTAGTGGAGACGGGGTTTCGCCGTGTTAGCCAGGATGGTCTCAATCTCCTGACCTAGTGATCCGCCCGTGTAGGCCTCCCAAAGTGCTGGGATTACAGGCTTGAGCCACCGCGCCCGGCCGCTCAGCTAATTTTTTAATTTTTTTTTTGAGACGGAGTCTCGCTCTGTCACCAGGATGGAGTGCAGTGGCATGATCTCAGCTCACTGCAACCTCTGCCTCCTGGATTCAAGCAATTTTCCTGCCTTAGCCTTCCGAGTAGCTGGGATTACAGGCATGCACCAACACACCTGGCTAATTTTTTATATTTTTGATAGAGACAGGATTTCACTATATTGCTCAGGCTGGTCTTTAACTCCTGGGCTCCAGAAATCCTCCTGCCTTGGCCTCCCAAAGCGTTGGGATTACAGGCATGAGCCACTGTGCCTGGCCTAAATTTGGTGATTTTTTATTTAATCATGAGCCCTTGTTACATTCCAAAATATCAAACTACTTGAAGCACCCTTCTTTACCATACACATTCTATGCTTTTTCGTATCTTTCAGTTTCTCCCTACGCTTCTCCTTTTGTCCCAAATGCCCTTTTTCTTCTGACTCCCGTCGATACATTCTTCAATGCTGATCTCAGGTTTTATCTTCCTGGAGGAGGTAAAACCTGACTCTACTCTCTTGAGTTAGGAACTGCTCCTTTGGGCTTCCCCAGCACAGTCCATGTGTCTGTCAGAAGATCAATAATGTATACTAAAATAATCTACCTCCCTTGCCAGTCCAGAGTTCCAGGAGAGCAGACACAGTGTCTTATTCATGTTTGTATGCCCAAGGCAGAGCACAGTGTCTGAAACAGAGAAGGCGTGTTCTCAGTAAGTGTTTATGAGCCTAACATTTTACACTCACAAAGTGATGCAAACCCTCAGGCCACTTGCAGCCCTAGAGGACAGGATTGAAGGAAGAAGGAACCAAAGGAAATTCTAACTGGACGTGGAGGCCTCATTAACTAAATAGCCTTTTCTCATCTTTCTTTTTCCCTGAAGAGCCAGATAAGCCCATGGGGCAAGTGGATATCATCCCCCTGGTGCTGTGGGCAATATTTTCCACAGTGAAGAGAGAAAACAAATGTGAGCTGTTCTTCCTTGTAAGAGTCTGATTTAGGAAAGTGCCTAGCCTTGTTGGCAATAAGGCACCTTCTCACTGAATATCTTAACACAAAAGATATCAGATGCCATCAATATTTGCATACTTACATGACATTGCCTTTAACACTTCTCTAATAAGATATGATATGCTCTTACACCCTGCAGCTTAAAAAGCACATTAATATCCATCAGTTAATTGGACCCCACAACTATTATGTGAGAGATCATTACCACTCCCATTTTATAAAGAAAAAAGGGTCAAGAAAGGTCAAGCTAGTTGCTTAACTTCCAGATTTTTTTTTTCTTCTGAATTCTAATCCCATGATGTCCCATCCAAGTACTAACCAGGCCCGACCCCGGTCACCTTCTGAGATCAGATGTGTTCAGGATAGCAAGGCCATAGACTCTAATCCTAGAACCTTTCCACAGTGGCCTTCTGGATATTTTTCTTCAGTTAAACGGTAAAATTCAACTTGGGAGTTTTGCACTTTATAACTTCATGAAATAAATGTTTATTGAGCATGTGCTAGGTGCCAGGCCCTGGTTATGTGGCTGTGACATTTCCTCTCCCTAGGATCCCTTTCACGCTGAGTGGGGTTTTGTCTTCCGAAGCCCGTGACTCCTCAAAAAGGCACTCCAAATGACTCGAAACTCCTCAGTCCTCAAGTCACAGACACTGCTGTTCTCATATTTTTGGTTTAAAATGGGTTTTAACTGGTTTTAATCTCAAACTCTAGCTCTGGTTAGTTATACCCAGAGAACCTCCAGTTTAGCTCAGTTCCCAGGGCAGCAAGGTTTAAAGGCAGCTGACCTGGGAGCAATTTTTAGCAAGCTTTAGGGTCAGAAACACATAAGGTTAGATCTGACTTTAGCATCTATTAACTGTGTGACCCCAGCCCTCTAATTCTCATTAGCATAAAATGTGGCCGTACAAGTGTCAGAGGAGTTTTGTGCAAATAAGATAGTACAGCACTGTGTTGAAAAGAAAACTAAACACATAGCCCGCACTTGGAATGAAATACATGCTACCTATTTCCCGTGAAGATGAATCAATTCTCTCTTTCTTCATATTCTCAATCTAAAAATACTTTTTGCCACATAATGCTTCGTGTGAGAGGGTGATAATTGAAAGTGATGGGAAAACAGTTAATTGGGTACACATGGACATAAATATGGGAACAACAGACACTGGGGAATAAAAGAAGGGGAGGAAGGAAAAGGGACAAAAGTTAAAAAACTACTATGGGTACTATGCTCACTACCTGGATGATGCATACAATCATACAGCAAGCCTCAGGATCATGCAATATACCTTTGTAACAAACCTGCCTATGCCCCCGATTCTAAAAAGTTAGAAAAAAAAAACCACTTAAAAATTAAGATAGGGAGGAAAAGCAATGAGTATTTGCCACACTGCAACTGTCAAGCAGGTATGCCCACAGGCAGAAAACAAAAAAATTGTGTAAAACCTTCAGTTAAAGATGCCATGGCAACCTGGTACATGTAAGGGTATATACATAGCTCTCTCTTTGGGATAAATATAGACAGACCAAAAGCCAAGTGGTCTTATTTGCAATCAGGGGACCCGTTAAATGAAGTGCTTAGCTGTGCTGGGGCAGGTACATATCAGGGGTATACAATGACAAGTCTGTACATAGGAAAACTTTGGGCTAGCAGGGAACTTGCTACTACAATGGTTGCATCAGCATGTTAGCCATGAGCCAGAGGTGCTGCAAAGATCCCTCCTGTCCAGTTACCCTCTGCTCCTCGGGTCTGTATCCTATGGTTTCATTCCAACAGACAAGACAGCTTGGGACACATTGTAGAGCAAATGAAATAAAATGACCCTAGAAAGTTTCTCCTGGAATCAGGATCACTGAAAACCACTTACATTCCAGGCTCAGAAAGAAGCAAGCAAGCTTTCCTTTGCAGCACGCATGCCCGAGCTGCATAGAGAGCTGCAAGCACAGCAGAAGGCAGCCCCTCTGGTGCTATAGAGAAAGTGGAATGGCGAGAACTTTCTCCCCTGCAGACACAGCCCAGTTTAGATCTCCATGGCATGTGGGAAGACAGCAGCAGCACCACGGTCATTTTTTAAGTGTCTAACATTTGAAATCTCTGTAGGAGTATCAAAAGCTAACAACTAGATTCCAGCCCTGCACTTTCAAGCTATTCACTGAAGTCCTGCAAAGAGGGCTGGGGAAGATATAAAAGTTAATATTACTTTTTCTCAGAAGTGTCATTTGACAATTGGCCTCCTTCCCTAAAAAAGTTTCTAGATTTTTACATTTTCCTTTTGACCATGAAACACGAAAATTACACACACCGTTGGCACTGGCCAAACAGCAGCTGAGAACAGTGTCAGGGTCCTGGTGCTGGATTAGGAGGCTAGATACTTGGGTTCAAGTCCTGGCTATGAGACTTCTAAGAAATAATCCCTCTAAGTTTCACTTCTGTTATTTGTAAAAATGAAAAGGACAGTAGCTTACCTGCCCTGCCTACTCGCAGAAAAGCTAAGAGGAAATTGGTTAAAGTGCCATGTAAATCCAAAAAGTCTAATGATTTTGGTGCAATTTGGTGATGCGACAGGTCCTTTCCCCACCTGCCTCAAGAGGCCCAGTCACCACGCTGATTACGTGGACTTTGTCGATTTTTCTGGGGAAAGCAGAACAAGGGCATCCCATTCTTTATTTACCTTCTTTTCATTGACATCTGCCTGTTCCTCTTCCTCATTCACTTCTGCTGGCATCTCTTTGATTTTGTTCAGCAGCTCAGCCTTGGGAGCAGACACACTGTAGTAGGCAGGGCAGTTGACCAACATGCTCACTGCTTCCTTGTCTTCATTCCTGGGCCAGAAAGAGCACAAAGTACAGCCACACAGAGCATGCCAGAGGCTTTGTTTCACTGCAAACGTCAGTCCATTCAGAAGCGCGTGACAATTCTATTTAATTTCTTTCCCAGAAATTAGGATAAACTAGTAACTGTTAAGTAATGAGTGATTACTATGTACAAGGCTGTTGAAGCCAGGCAAACCTCTCTGCTTTTGTGATTCATATAAGAATGATACTGACTCTTTATTTCAGAGAAAGACAGTGTGGAACCATGACTCAATCAATGTGAAAGTATTTTCAAGGTGCTGCACAAACCTCAGGTTTTAGGTCAATTATTTCCTATGTAATCTTTCCAGTGCCTACTATGTATTGTTGCTTGAACACACAAAAATTTTCCTTCTCAAGTATGCCTGCTATCCCATATAAGCCTAGGAAATCTGCAGTTTGCTGGTCCGCAGTGAACTAATACAAGATATAAAATCTACTTATTGATAATATAATAGGGATGTTTCAAGGCTGAAGAAAAAACTCGGAATTGAGAAACCTGCTATCTAGTGTTCTCTGTTTTACCACATTTGAGTTGCCTTTCAGCCTATAATTCATATTCTACCCACTGAATAAATGACTCTATGGAAGTAAGATTCTCTTGGAGAGGAACTTTATTCAATCTTGTGATATTATTTAACATCTAGCCCACCATTTTACTATGAAATAAGGAACCACACACACAAAAATCATCTTTACTAGTTAACTGTCCCAGTAAGCAACAATGACCACATTTAATCCAGTTAATTGAAAGACAGGGAAAAGATTTTCTAATACATTTTTGTTTTCAGATATGTCCACCGCATTACAAATGGGATTCTCTGGCATCTGACCAACCCTCACAATGGCTACTGGCCATCTCACGCCCAACAGGACAATGCTTATTTCCACCAGGAGATGGCGCATGTCTTTTATTTATTTATTTTTTAAATCCCCAGGAAGATCTCAGTGCTGCAAAAGCTACATGACCATTCTGCTTCTAAACTGATGAAGTAAACATGTATTTTCAGTGGTAACGCTACGAAATACTTTGCTAAGGATGTTACTTTGGTCCTTCTACAGCCAGTGGTCAGAGAACAGAATGACCATACTGCAACCACCCATGGCGAACTGACTGGCACATCCACAAAAATAGTATCTTTGGGGTCCCCATAGTACCCAGTGGATTACTTTGCACATTGCAGGTGCTCAGTATGTGTTTGCTAAAGACATGACCCTGGATAAATCACTTCACCTCAATTAGTCTATTTCCCAAATCTGAAAATAAAAGCGGGGGAATGGACAAGGTGACAGGTAAGGCCTTGAATCAGAAGAGCTTCTGACAACATGACAAATAGCTTGTAAGTATCACACAGCTCTTTCCTTTCTCTCTCCTCCACAAAATGAAACGTGGTGTTCCTGTTAGTAATTTAGTTAGGATCAGTTGGAAATTTTTAAAATGCAATCCTAAATTTGGATAAAATGTTCTGTTTTTATTTAGTCTGGAAGCCACTAACTGCTAAGTCCCAGACTGTCAATCCACAAAGATTTCACTGAAAATTAAAGAGAAAATGAAAGCTACTCAATCTTTCTCATAGTAGTCTTTTAAGGAAATAAAACATGCAAGAAAATACTACAGTAACCCAGGAGAAACGAAAAGCATCAAAAACACGAACTGCACACTGGGGCACGTGTTAGTTACATGGCTGGTTCAAGAAGCTTCAGAAGTAGAGGCTCACGGACTGGGCCAAACCAGAGAGTGCGCCCCTACTCAGACCTTTCCTGATTTTCAGGATTTGTGCCAACACCCACCTTAATGACTCAGAGGTAAGGGTCAGTGTAATACATGAACTTATTTCTCTAGGCTCTCCTCCTTACAAAGCCCTTCCCCTCTCAGTCTTGGCAAGACGTTGGCCACGCTCACCACTTCTACTTGCTCCTTTCTCAGCACCGAGCCCTGAGGGCCTCTCTGCCAGAGCAGCTCTGATACAGAACGGACAAGTACACCTTCACTGAGCTGGGGACGCTGTGTAATTGCTGGACACAGACACAGTCATGGGGCTGTGATCAAATCCAGGTGCTATCATTCTCATGTTCAATGGCCTTGGTGAGCATGGTCTTAATTCCTCTGTACTTCAGTTTCCTCATTTGTAAATGGAGATAAAATTGGTAGCTACCTCAGCAAGTTCTTGTGAAAATTAAATAATGTTGATATAAATAAATAAATACAATGCTTGACACGTGAAAAATGGGTATTAATTGCAGTTATTATCATTATTACTATTACTTTCTTTGTTGTTGCATCATCTGTCCCGCATCCTTCCTCCCAGAGCCATTCCTGCAAGACTGAGATAAAAATGGCACTCTTGGGTCAGGAGCTGTGGAAGTGGGAAAACATCAGGCAACAAGTCCTAGACTTATCATCATCCCCATGGAAGGAGTTCGATTGTAAGTCGCTCTGAAGACATCACCAGGGACTTACCTCTTGCCTTCACATCCTGAAGAGCTGACAGTTCTCTGTATGGCCTTCCTCTTTACGCTGTTTTCCTTCAGCAAGTTCACATCTCGGGGAAACAAACCTTCCATCAGGTCCATTGTTGTCTTCAGCCTGGAATCTGGATCCAAAATGTCTGCCAGAGATTTGTCTTGGTGGACAATTTCCTTGGCCAGAGCCTCTGTTCTAATGTCTTCTGAGCTCTTCTGAGGATCAGAATTGACTTTCTTTTCTAAACCCTGAGTTCCATTGACTGGATCATGGGTGAGGCTTTGAGTCCGGATGGGTGCTGGCTGCCCACCAAGAGACCCAGCAAGTTGGGGGTGAACACTCATGAAGGAGGGTGGTGTGGACTCAGCCTCTGAACCCTTGATAGAAGTTTGGAGTCTGGAAGCCAGTGTCTGACTACCTACCACATGGGCTGCACCAGGCATGTGCCTTTCCCTTGCAATTGTCACTTTCGAAAGTTTGTTGGAGCTGCCAGGGATATTAAAAAAAGAGAGAGAGAGAAAGAGAGAGTGATAAGAGAAGGGTGATGATAAGAGGGTGGAGGAAGACTGAGGGAGAAGCTTTCCACATCAGGGTTGTAGCTTTCCACATCTTCCACATTTTCTACATCTTACTGATAGAGCTAATGTTAAAGAATATGGCTTCTGATTGTAAGTAGGTCTCCTGATACCGAACCCCCAAATTAAAAACATTTACCTACCTAGTCACAGTTCATGCTAGACACACAAACATACATAGATACATACATAGGAGTGGGGTGAGATAGTCACATTTCTGAGGTCAACCCCGTCTTTTGAAAACCACAGCACTCTAAAGGGCCTCCTGAGCCCAGCAGCTGGTCAGGAGGTTGTCATCTCCTGAGGAAGATGGAATAGGAATTCAGTTTGGGTGAATGTTGCTGTTAGATTCCAGAGATTTCTGAAAGGTCTAGGTTAAATTAACAGGGGGTAGTGGTAATAAGTCACTCTTGCGGTGTTTAAAGAAAGCCACTCCAAAGGTGCTGTCAGGCAATGTCTTTTTTTGGTGTTTTGAGAGATCACTTGTTCTAGGGACTATGTGTTGGGGAATGCTGCTTTCTCATTCTCCTAGCTTCCAAGAGGTTTTCCCTAAACATTACTGACCTTGAGCCCTACTCTTTATTCCTATGGACATGGAGTGATTTTGGAAAGAGAAGCTCAGCATTCACATCCCAGTCTCTTCTCTTTCGAGACTGAGGCTGCCTCACGGCTGTGTATAGTAATATCTATGTGTATTTGTGTGTCTAGTATGACCTTTGATGAAGTAGGTAAACCTGTTTAACTTGGGGGTTCAGTATCAAGGGACCCACTTACAATCTGAAGCCATATTCTTTCATGTTAGCTCTGTCAGTAACAAAAGTGATGTTTTTGTCTTCTATATGCTCTCCTCTTTTGTCTTATTTCCTAACTGATTCAGAACTCGGCCAGGGAGGAGGACCGCCTGAGCCTATCCTGTCCCCAGAAGTGAAATGTGCCCCTTGGGTTCCAGCTTTCGTTTCTGCCACCCTGACTCCTCGGTACCCAATGACACTGGTCCAACTACCTCCTGAGGCAAACAGATGAATACTGTCCTGAGCTGAGCTGTATAGAAACATCTCCATGCCAGGTCTCTTCTGTGGCCAGCAGAAGGACCTGGGCCACCTGGGGCATGACACTCTCCTGTTAGTGAAGGAAACCTGCCCAGTCTGCTCACTCACCTGGGGCGCAGCCCCTCAGGATCCTCACTGTCCAGCTGCGCCTCACACACTGCGTGGGGAGGAGGTGGAGGGAAGTCATCCATGCTATACACCAGGGTTTCCTGACTTGGTGGAGGAGGTGGGGGTGGGGGAAGAGTTTCAAACGTGGGGCTGGACGTGGCCTTGGGGTGCAGATCCCTCACAAACACTTCGTCTTCATAATCCTCGCGAGGTGGCGGGGAGTCCCGCAGGACGGATTCAGATATTCGGAGGGATATCCTCCCTGGAGTGCTCGGGGTCCCAAGAGGCGTGTCTGGGTCAGAAGTGCTGCACGAACTTGGAAGACTCTGCTGTTTTTGATAGTGCTTCAGGTTTGCAAACTCAGGGGCTGACGATTCCTCAGGAAGGCTGTCCTCTCTGCCTGCGTGGGCCCACTTCACTCGAGAAGGCGGTGGCCACTGAGGCAGTGAGACCCTCTTCCTCGTTCCCTCTTCTACCCCATGCTCTGGGCCATCACCCTCACAGCCTCTTGGACCGGGAGGCTGGGTCAGGGTGTGACCATTGCTTCTGTGGGTCATGGCAGGGGTGTAGGGCGGGAGAGGCTGTCGCCCTGTCTGACCATCCTGTGAGCAGTAGCCAGAGGGAACAGCTGAAGGTAGAGGGGTGCCAAGTGGGGTCAGGGGTGCAGCCCTGGTGTCTGTGAGCTGCCCTTGCGTTCCTGCCAGTGGTGGCCTGGGACAGGGTGTCCTGCTGGCTTGCCTCTGATGGTCCGGGGTTCCAGGACATTCACTAGGAACGGAGGAATCACCAATGGCTTTGCAACCTGAACCACCCCAACGAGGGGTAGGATGGTGGAAGAGCAGCGGCATCTCTTCTTGGCCTCTTTCTGAACAACTGAGTGACCTGGAACAGCACACAGACAGGAGGGTTACAGCTCTGAAGAAAGGGGCAAGCATGCAGCCCAATGTTCCTTACATAGATGAGAAAAGCACTTAAGAGGAAGGAGGACCTCCTTTCCTCCCCCCAGAAACTGAACACTGTCCTCCCTGGCTGCTCACAGGAAGACCCAAGTTAAACTAGTACTCGACAGGCATAAATTCCTACAGGAAAATGTCACATGGAATGCCTGGGTTCACAAGGCATTTTCTTTTATTAACCCTCTCACCGCCCCCACATCCTGTACACACCATGCAACATAAGGCAGCTTTTGAGGACAGGCTTCAGGATATAAAAACAAACAGTACATTTCTGCAGCCCCTTTTAGGACTACTTCAGGAAATAGCTCCCAGCTCTGGGGAAGAATAACACTGCCTTCTTCTCTCCCGGTGTAATCCCCACGGGGGAGGTCTGTTTTGAAAGCATTTGCATGGGCTGCTGAATTTGAAGGTTTTATTTACAACGTTTGGTTACTCTCCTAGTGTTTTCATTTCATCTGATGAAAAATAAAAAGGAGGGGGAGAGGCTCACCTAAGGAGCTAATAAACAGTTACCTCTGGAGAAAGAGGCTGGCAATAATAAGCAAATATGGTACATGGTGATTTAAACAACTGTACTCTAGACTCTGAGGAAAAACCCAACAATTCACAAAACTTTTGTTATTGTGTTCTAAAGGAGAAAAAAACCACAAACCAAAACAAAGAAAAAAGAATCTGTGACACTGCCTGCTATGCAAGAGTTAATGTGAGGATAAAAAGCTCTCCAGCAAACCCACCATGATTTGTACATTCCCTGTCTGCCGTTCCCTGACTGGCTATGTGAGTGAATCTGGACCGCAGATGGCACATTTCATCTCACAGATCAGACTCCTCTGAGGGAGCGGTGACTCAGTCCCACATCAGAGCAATAATACAGGGCTTGCCACAAGATCATCCAAGTGCCAGGCAAGCAGAATGCGTGGTGGAAGAAGATGGCAAAGAACCAAATTAGCTCTTCTCATGCCTTTATTTTTCCTTTATTACACACAGATGCAGATGATGAAATAAAGGGCCCACCTCTCTCTCTGATGCAACCCCTCCCTTCCGATGACCGGTCCCTTTCATTCAAACATGGTTTCTTTACCAGGAACCTCCCCATAGTGAAGAGTAGCCACTCTGCACTTCCTGGTGGCTTCCCCCATGAGCATATTAGAAACCCCGAGGAAGGAGATTTGCTGGGGACGCTCTTCCCTTCTCTCATCCATCCTGGCATCCCCAATACCTGGCACCAAGTATCCCCTCAGCAAGTGTCTGTTGAACAGTGACGTCTCCTTTGCCCAGCTGCTCTCCAGACTGTAGCATACAAACTGTTTTTAAACTCAGCATCCTTTAAGAGGACGTGGAGTCAGCTGAAATCTGATGTTTTAACGACGAATTCAGATGCCTTTATTTTATTTATTATATCTTGAGGCTTTTCTAAAGGGGGAGACATCACTAAAACATACAATAATATAGCACTTATCCTTTAAAAATCCAGCCCAATAGACTTTCATATGCTGCTTTTAGTTTGTGTGGCCTTACTTTACACAGACTATACCAAAGTGGCATTTTCTTTTTGAAGATAATATCAGTAGGAAATGCTTAGCTTGGTTGAGAATGCTTCTCCATGGTGATTATTTTGTGTTTTTAGGAATGAAGTTTGGGATTAAAAAAAGACTTTGTTCAAGTCCCTTTTATAATACAGTGTGAGAGGCTCACCCAGAGTCTTGCTGATATGTATCCAGGAATCCTACTATTCAAGAATGGATTTTGAGAGCAGTTAGTCTCACCTTTGTTTTGTTTTCCTTTTTTTTTTTTTTAAAAAAAAAAAGCACTTTTAAAAAATTGTGGTTAAAAAAGCAACATAGAATTTCATCCTAACCATTTTTAAGTTCAGTAGTGTTTCACACTGTTGTGAAACAGATCTCCACAACTTTCACAACTTGCACCCTAAAATTATGTACCCACTAAGTAATAACTCCCCATTTCCCCCTCCTACTATCCCCTGGAAATCACCATTTTACTTTGTGTTTTTACAAATTTGACTACTTTAAGCACTTCATACAAGTGAAATTATACAGTATGTCTTTTTGTGACTGGCTTATTTCACCTCACATAATGTCATGTTGTAGCATGTGGCAGAATTTCCTTTTTAAGGCTGAGTAACATTCCATTGTATGGCTACACCACATTTTGTTTTATCCAATCATCTGTCATGAGTAGACATTTGGGTTGTTTCTACCTCTTGGTGAATAGTAAATACTGCTGCTATGAACATGGGTGTGCAATATATCTCTTGGAGACCCGCTTTCAATTCTTTTGGACATATACTCAGAAGTGGCATTGCCAGATCATATGGTAGTTCTATTTTTAATGTTCTGAGACCTCCATGATGTTTTTCATATGGCTGCACCATTTTATATTCCCACTAACAGTGTGCAAGGTTTCCAATTTCCCCATATCCTCACCAACACTTGTTGTTTTTCGTTTTTTTAATTGCAGCCATCCTAATGTGTGTGAGGTAACATCTCATTGTGGTTTTGAGTTCTCTGATGATTAGTGGTGTTGAGCATCTTTTCACTTGCTTGTTGGCCATGTGTCTGCCATCTTTAGAGAAATGTCTATTTAAGTCATTTGCCCATTTTTATACAGACAAGTAAATTTTTATGTTTGAAATTAACAAGTGAATGTCTGAATTTAGTTCGATTGGTGTCCTCTAGTGTTTTTCTTTAAAATGGAAGCCAAAAAGAATGGAGAATAGTTTGAAAGCAGGAAAGAAGTATATAATAATGATAACTATTGTCTCTTTGTGACCCATGAAGGCATCAAACTCTTATAAAACTTGAACAGTGCAAAATCTCTATTTTTCTATAAATTAGAACATTTTATGTTTTTACAAAAGCACTAATGTAAAGTCTGAATTTTATGTATTTAGAGAGAATTATGTCAGCATGGAGGAAAACTGATCCTAATAAGCATCCATGGAGAACAGAGGGCACATTCCTCCAAATTCCACCTTCCAAATTATTCTGACATTTCAATGTTGTCCACAGTTGATGTGACTCTTGTCTTCCTACTATTATTAACAGAGTGACTATGGTAAAAGACCATGCAAAACTTTAGAAAAAAAAAAAAAGAGTGTTATACTTTTTTGTGTCTTCTTGGTTGTGGTGGTCAGAAAAACACGCTGCAAGCAGAATTTTTAGTATTCAAAATTCATAGCACAGGATCTGTGATCAAGTCCCTCCCGTGTTTTCCTGTCGGCTGCACTTTCCATGCTTATGCTTTTCCCCAGGACAGCTGAGAATTACATATCCTGAAATTATCAATATCTTTTTCAGCAAGCACTAGGCATGCAGCTGCACCTATGCTAATGTCAGTTGCTGAAGAACAGGACAAGCATTTCAGTTATTCAGCGGTATGTGATGCTTGTCATATTTATTCTTTTGGCATTTTTACAGCTCATAATTTTTTTTTTTAACACAGAACTAGTTTTGTTGAGGAAGATTTCCCCTCCCCACAAAATTGCTACCTGTGTTTCTCAGATTGTCGATACTGCCACTGAGCCAACAAGCAGTCCACTCACCTGTCACCTTCAATTTTTTTTTTCCTTTCCAACTTTTATTTTAGGTTCAAGGATTACATGTACAGGTTTGTTACATGGGTAAATTGCATGTCGCTGGGGTTTGGTGTAGAGATAATTTTGTCACCCAGGTAAGCATAGTACCTGATAGGTAGTTTTTTCAATCCTCACCTTCCTACCACCCTCCGCCCTCTATTGTTCCCTTCTCTGTGTCCATGTGTACTTAATGTTTAGCTTCCACTTGTAAGTGAGAACATGCGGTATTTGTTTTTTTGCTCCTGTGTTCATTTGCTTAGGATAATGGCCTTCAGCTCCATCCATGTTGCTGCAAAGGATATGATCTTGTTCTTTTTTCACCTTTGCCCATTTTTAAATAGGGTTATTTGATTGTTTGTTGTTTAGTCCCACCTTTGATTTCAGACCAATTTTCTTTAGCAGTGCTCTAGTTTATTGTTACTTTTCCCTTGTCTCTAGCTATTTAATTAATGCACCCAAACTAACCAAAGTCCTCAGTCTCACCTTGAATACTTTCTTCCTTGTCAACACACCTATAGGAGCAAGAGCATATAAATATAGAAGGCTGATCTTGGCTGGAAAGCAGGTAATTAATACCTACTTCCTGACCATGTTGGCTGCTTCTACTTGACAGTATTGCGTTGTGTTATTAAGAAGGTGAATGTAGAAACAATGATTGAATGAAATATAAGAAAAATTAAGGAAATGGCTTAAAAACATGGAAAGGAGTAGGTAGGGTGTACGTATATTATCATTAGTAATAATAGATTAAAGTAGATAACTCTGTAATGCTGCATTAAAACTACATACAGAGTACATGGTTCAGAGAAAAACCCTTTCTGGAAATTTCTACTTAAGTCCCATGTGAACAGTTCAAAATTTTAAATTCTAAAAAAGTGCTCATTATGTTTTTCTACCTAGAATATGATTTTGATGGCATTTTAAAAAAATGACTTTCCTCTGTTTTCTATCCTCACATGTATAAAATTATGATTTTGAGCTTTATTTTTCACCTCCAATGCTTACAGTTTGCCTTCCTCTGTGAAGCTGTTCATGAAATGCCCATTCTTCCCTAGCACTGTGGTCACCAGACGTGATGCTCTGCACACAGAGCTGGATGAGATCAGCCACACAGGAGGCCCTGTTTGTGAGAGCCAAGGGGCATGCGCGAGAAAAGCACCTCCATTAATTATTCTGTTGTCAAACTGGTTAGCCAAGTCTACCTTGTCCTCAATAGCACATGTTCAAAACCTATTTTGAACAACTGTCATTCTCAAAGAAAATCATTTCTAAATGGAAAATAAAAAGTTATCCACGGCCTAGACAAATCAAAAAAGCATGTGACACTATACAACATCATATTTCAATTTCTTGTAGAAAGGAACAAGAGTAGTTTAACACCAGCAGCATTCATACGTGGAGAGCATCATAAGTACACGTACATACCTAGATCCAGGACCAGCCAAATAACATGGATCCTTCACAAGACCAAAGCCATTGTCTTGCCCCAAAAGCACATCCTTGAAACACAAGAAAGATACAGCATTACTGCCAATAAACAGGTGTTTAAATTTACCAAGGGGGTGGGGTAAAAAGAAGAAACACCTATTTACTGGCAACCTACTATTGTCAGGCCACGTGGTGGCACTCTTACATAATCCCATGGCATCGATGCAGGAGATAAGCTGAAGATTTAAAAAAAAAAGTGGCAGAGTCAGAATTTGAACTTCAGTCTGTCTCACCAGGTGCCTCCTCTAACAAGGATGTTTCCTAAGTAAGAGAAGTCTCCTAACGATTATCTCCAGAGTTCAAAACAACTGCTAAACTTGAAATAGGGTAACGAAGACAATGAATTCAATGGGTCAAACTTTTCAAATGGCAATAGGGAAATATGAGAGATGACGGGAAAGGATAGACTATTACATTTTGCAAAAATCTCAAATGTTCTTAGTTACAATTAGTGAAGATATGAATTTGGATTGTAATTGGGTTGCAATAAGTTCTGGGAAAAAGTTCACTCACATGTGAGATCAATAACTCTAGGGACTTTTCAGGGGTAGTTGTTTTTTATCAATGAGGGTATATACTGGGGTCCTGAAAGGGTTGTCAGTTTTTGACAGTATACAATTTGGTCCCTGTGTTCAGGTCCATGATGAAGATGATGATGTTGCTATTGATGATAATACATTCAACTCCCAATTATTTATGACAGGAGACAGGCAAAAACCATAAAAAAATAAATCCATATATAATCTCTAACTTAATTTCAGTAATTTATTTTGCCATTTAACCCTGCCCAAAGGGTTAACTGCTCTTCACCCCGTTCCTCATTGTTTTTGTTTAGTGGCTGAGAAACTAATAAGCAATGGAAAGGGTCAAAGGTGATAGCAGGCAGAAGAAACAAACCCCTGAACATTATTCATAATTGCAGCTACAGGTAGTGGGTATTTACTGTGTACCAGACACTCTGCTAAGTACCTTGCACCAACAAATTATATGCCTGGAATATTAGGCACTTGACTTTTTTTTTTTTGTAACTTAATCTATAACAATTGGAAGCGGGGTATGTAATAGCAGCTCAGCGAGGTGACATATCTTGCCCACAGTTAAGTAAGTGGAGAAACTATGATTCAAGCCATGATCTCAAAGCCCAAGGTCTTGCCATGGAATCTTTACAGGTTGAATGGCAGCTGGGCTGGATGCAATCAGACTTGAATGGCTTGAGAAAAATGAATTCCATAGTGTTCTGATTCACTCAAGTATCATTGTAGGGAATGAGAATTCCTGCTCTCCATGAAATTTATGGTCCTTTAAAAGTCTTTTCCCACCACTTTTCCCTATGTTGACATGAATGTGCCACTTTGCCAATAATTAATTGGAAAAGCCTAGGTCCCATGTGAGCTCCTAACACAGTAAAGTATAAATATATATTCATATCCTATTATATCCTTTGCATTTCAGTTTGACAATGAATCTAACTTCTGTATTCACATGATTTGGCCCCTACAATATCAAGCTTAAACTATTTATGTGGATGTGGGTAAAATAAAGGAATTAGACCCAGTAATAAATGATTGAGAGAATTCTCTCAATCTTCTGTCAATCAAAATACCACTTGGACAAAGGAAAATATCTTCCCAATCTGATACAAGTCCAAGAAGATAAATTCCTGTTGCATTTCTTGCTTTAATTTAAGCATATATTCACTGTCAAGACTTAAATTTTCTGTGAACTGGTAAGAAGTACAAAGTACTTATTATGGCAATTACAGCAAAAAAGCAGTGGCTATGGGAAAAATACTAGGCATAGAATTATACCAACTTCTTGTCTAATTTATTTTTGTTAATTATCTCAAAATTGACTTAAAAATACACCAATTCTTAGCATACTTAATAATGTAAATCAGCTGGGCACGGTGGCTCACGCCTGTGATCCCAGCACTTTGGGAGGCGGAGACGGGCGGATCACGAGGTCAGGAGATCGAGACCATCCTGGCTAACACGGTGAAACCCTGTCTCTACTAAAAGTACCAAAAAAATTACCTGGGCATGGTGGCAGACGCCTGTAGTCCCAGGTACTCGGGAGGCTGAGGAAGGAGAATGACGTGAACCCGGGAGGCAGAGCTTGCAGTGAGCTGAGATCGCGCAACTCCGTCTCCAATAATAATAATAATAATAATAATAATAATAATGTAAATCTAAAGTCTACTGAATCTCAGTCCTCTTGTTTTGGGTTGCAAGTTAGTTATCTCAATATCTCTGTCACTGATGAAATGTGAAGACAACAATATTCACCTACTTTAGAATATTTCAAGTAACTACTAAAATTAACTAGAAATCCTTATGAAAAATCTGATGTCATGTGTCACTTAACAATAGGGATATGTTCTGAGAAATGCATCATTAGGCAATTTTGTCCTTGTGCAAATATCATAGAGTGTGCTTACAGAAACCAGATGACATAGACTACTACATCCCTAGGCTATATGGTATAGGCCTATTGCTCCTAGGCTACAAACTTCTACAGCATATTACTGTACTGAATATTGTAGGCAGTTGCAACACAATGATATGTATTTTTGTTTCTAAACATGGAGAAGGTACGGTAAAAGTATGGTATTATAATCTTATGGGACCACTGTCGCATATCTGGTCCATCCTTGACCATTATATGATGCATGACTGAAATAGTAATCAATAAATGTTAAAATGAAATAAATTCATTGGCTGATATTTTCAGATACAGAACGTTTAACTCTTGCCTCTCTTTCCCCATTCCCAGCCTCTTTTTATTCAAGGAGACGGCATGGTATATTGACTTAAAGACTCTGCAGTCAGGCAGTATGGGGTCAAAACCTCACCTTACTACTTTGGGCAAATTTTGTATCCTCTTTGTGACTTGGTTCATTCTTCTGTAACTTAGAGATAATAATAGTATTTACCTCATTGCACAGATGTGAGGACTAATTTTATTTTATTTTATTTTTTGAGACAGAGTCTCGCTCTGTTGCCCAGGCTGGAGGGCAGTGGCGCGATGTCAGCTCACTGCAACCTCTGCCTCCTGAGTTCAAGCAATTCTCATGCCTCAGTCTCCCAAGTAGCTGGGACTACAGATGCACACCACCATGCCTAGCTAATTTTTGTATTTTTAGTAAAGATGGGGTTTTGCCATGTTGGCCAGGCTGATCTCGAACTCCTGGCCTCAAGCTATCTACCCACTTTGGCCTCCCAAGGTGCTGGGATTACAGGTGTGCACCACAGCACCCAGCCAAGACTAACTTTATACTTATAAAACACAACACAATGACTGGCACATAGCAAAATTTTGATTATTGTTAGCTATTTGTATCTTCACATTTTGTGGAAAGTCGATTCTGTTTTGTATAAGCTTAAATGTGTGCATGTAGAAAGGTATTAAAAAAGATTTACAAGTTGCATTCCACAGAATCAAGTCTATATTCCAATACTGTGGTTCCATGCATTGAGCAATTTCCTCAGCAATTCAATAAGGTTTGTCACAGCATCTCACAGTGATTATGTTATACATCAGACAAAATACTGTGAGAACCAGAGAAGTCTCTAACTTAGCATCTGGGGGAAAAATCCCCACCAGTAATCTTATTTCTCCAAGGGTTTCTCTTTATAGGCTCTACTATATTTTAAATCTATGCAATGAACAGATACACATTTCTGTCTCTAAGGCAGAAATGTTGGATATCTTTCTGTAGCTTTGCAGGTCCTACCCACTTTTAACAGGTTAAGCTTTCCAAGGTCTCACAGAAAGAAAGTGGTAACAGGCAAGAGTCTGATGTGCACTTAAGCTCCACCACTAGTATCTATTTATTCTGCAATGAAGAAGAATTACAGAGAAGAAAATGGAGGGTTGCATGTTTCAGAGAGGATTTCAAGCTGGCTGAGGAAAGGCCAGACCTGCCAAATATATGAGAAGGTCTCAGGCTACAAGTAGTTCAAAATGGTAGCCTCCTGCAGTCATTATTTCAGGCCAGAGATGGATCAATTGTCATATACAGAGGAACTGATTTCCATGATGACTTTGTTTTTGGAGGCAGAAAGGCCTCACTAATGAGAATTTTGAAAAAGAGCTAAATCCTTGTCAAAAACTTGTAAAATCCTGCCCTGTCAGCATCTGACTGGTAAGAGCAAGCAGCATTTGTTGGAGATAGCATCAACTAAGCCAGCAGCAGAAACACACTCCACATTTTGGTTTTAACTCAGGCAGACAGCCTCTACAAGGTCACTTAACTTGTCAGAATTCTCTAAAGCAAGGATGAGAAAAATGATTAACAAACCTTCCCAAAAGCTTACTGGTAATGTTCTTGAAATGTATTCAATAGGAAATATATATATATATATATATATATAAAATAACCACAATAGTTATGTGGTGAGAATAACTTTGTTTTATTTTTAACTCATCATAACTACAAATAAGGCAGATGCCGAAGAGGATGCAAGGAGCAGACCACCTTGCCGTGAGATGCTTCTCCAGTCAGCGTAGGTCTGGCTGCTGTGCAGGAGACCAGGAGGAAGTTCAAGAATGCAGTCCTGGCACAGTGACAATATAAGAGACGATGCATTGTTCAGAAATTTCAGAATTTGTTGGAGCAAAGCAGTACAAAAGAAGTATTTCATTTGGAAATATTTCCCCCTCTGCCTGCATATTCCCCAAATTAAATAACATCTAAATATGGCATTCCCTTTATGAAAAGGGTACCCAAGTACTGTTCTGTATTCACTTGTCTTTCTAAAAAGTTTCCCAAATAATACAAAGTATTTAATTGGGATTTGGAGGAATCTCTTCACTTCCCTTAACACCCATGTTTTAGCTTTATTTCTTAATCAACCAGGCTTAAGAAATATTTGGGGGAAAAGATAAAATAACATTCATAGCCATCCAACCAACCTCTAAGACAAAATAACAATATCTAATGGGGAATAAACAATAATGATTTGGTTTTCACCTAAGCATTTCTATTTTCTTTAAAACACGGGAAGAGAAAGGAGGGTGTTTAGACTGCTATGCAGTTAAGTTGCTAAAATCTATCAAGCTAGATGAAATTGTGTGTTACATATATGGATTTTAAATGTGTGTTATTGGTAGGATAGGGAGTCAGAATTAGCTGTGTTCATTCTGAAGGAGGAAAAAGCTACTGAAGGCTTATGGGAAGTTGCCTCTACATTTGTCGGGGGTTTATACTGGGAGAATATATTTCTGTACAATTCTAAACAGAAAACATCTGGGAAGGGACAGTATTTTCTCTCAGAAGGGTGTTTGTATGTGTGTGCTAGAGTGCAGCAAACTTCTCAGCCAGTAACTGCTGAATCTTTCTTTGTCTCAACTGGTTTCTTCCGATCAATGTATTCCCTCTCGCCTAATCTCTTGTCATCATGCCCATCTTTTACATCCTGGCCCCAAATCCCATTTACCTTCAGGAGAAGTACTTTCAGATCACCTCAGAATTAATCACTTTCCTTAACATAGCATATTATTGATCACCATTCCCAAAACATTCACTAGTCATATTAGAATTATTTATATATATAAGGCCGTATTCCTTGCTTAATTGTGAACCCCAGAAAGGCATGAGCCTTTTTTTTTCCTTTGTGTATCCTTTGATGCTGTAACACAGCATTTTTCATACAACACATGCTCTACAGATGCTTGCTGAATGGCTGACTTCTCTGAAAGGGAAAACAGCAGAATCTGAGAGGAGGCAGTGGAGCAGAGTTCTTCCTTCCCTGTGCTAACAGGTATGTGATTCCTATTATTTTCTTTGGTGGGAAGGGAAGCATGAGGCAGGCCACTGATCTCCAGTGGAAGTGAAGCCTGAGGATAGGCTAAGAATTGGGGAAATTAATAGGCTCCTAGGAGTCAGAATGCTCAGCTTCTATTCCTAGCATTGCTTAAAATTTTCAGGGGAAAGTACTTTATAACCCTTGCAGCATTTGGTGCCTTTATTAGAAAATCCTTTTATGTGAGATTTTGAGTTTTTATTTTCTCTCCTCACCAGGATAATGCACAGAAAGAGCTCAGGTGGGAGTCTGAGACACAGGGGTCTGACATGTATAATATACTCTACTGCACAGGATTATCGTGAGGGTTAAATGAAATAATAAATGTAGATTACACTTAGCTCAGGACCTGCCACACACTTAGCTGAGGGCCAGGAATTCAATAACCAATGACTATCAATGTCAATCACTCTAGCTATTTTGTAGATGCAAAGTCCAATAGAAACAGAAAGGGTGCAAAGCTAAAACGTTTTAAATACTCAGATCCACACTCTAATCCATTAAAAAACAAAAAACAAAAAAGATAATCCCTAATTTTTCCTAACCTTGCATTTTTGCATTGAGAGGTGGTGACTTCCTAAAAAGGAGATAGATAGATAATCTGTATAACAATATAGGTAATCTAGATACCTATATCTTTATAAGGAAACCAGGCAGGGACACTTGAGAAACTCAACTCATGAAAACAAATGCTACTTTTCTGTTTTCACAAGGAAAACTGAACTGGGAGAGGGAGTGAGAGTGTTGGGGGTTGGGGAGCCCCATTGAAGCTTATAGGGAGGAAGGGACAGTCCGAGGCCAGGACTTGCTGGTTGCACATACCTGGTGCTTGTCCGCAGTGGCGGGAGATGACCTGGACCTCACGTGGACAGGGCCGGCGAGGACGTCTGAGCGTTCCAGCAGGTCCTCAGCTGACATGGACTTCCCAGCCCTGGCCCCCCAGGAGGATGGCTCCCTGTGGGTCTCATCCACTCTCTGGGTGCCCCTTGTTCCACCGTTTGCTCCACTGAGCAGCTCCCTTGGGACCTGTGGGTCCCCGCGTCGCCGTTCCCAGAGGCGGCGGCCACCGGCAAAGGAGCTGCTGCGATCTCGGGGAGCCTGCGGGGTTTCCGCAACTGTGGCCGGCAGGAGTGTGGCCTCCCTGCGGGGCTGCAGGCTGGGCTCCCGCAGCGAGCTCAAGCTGGAGGCTGAGGTGAGGCCGGAGGGTTCGAGCGCCGCGGGGCCAGGCTGGAGGTAGGCACTCTGGGCGCGCTCGCGCAGTGGCCCGGGCTCCTGGAGGCTGCAGCCGGCGGCGGAGGTAGGCCTCTTGCCGGTCTTGCGCTGGATGTAGTCGGCCAGGGCGCTCTGCTGGAACTGCTTCAGCTCGGGCCCCGACAGGCTGAGCGTGGAGCAGGCCTTGCCATCGCGCTCGAAGAGGCGGCGCCGGTCGGCCACGTTGCTCTCCGGGAAACGCATCCCATTCCTCTGCGGGCCCAGGGGTGTTGGTTCGGCCTCCTCCGCGACCCCCACCTCGTTCATCTTCTCGGGCTCAGAGTAGGAGCGCTTCTTCTGCTCGGGAGTCAGGCGCCGGCGAGCCCCTCTCCGGGCGGCAGCGGGCACGGGCCTGGCCAGGTCGCCCTCCGCAGGGGTCACACTGTGCCGCTCCCGGGGCGTGTGCGGGGAGGCGGAAGCCGGCGCCTCGGGGCTCCGCAGCCCCACGTGGGCCGAGGAAGGCCGCGGCCGCCAGGACTTCGATGCCACAGGCGCCCCCAGCTCCAGGTCTCGGCGTCGAAAGGAAGTGGCCCCCAAGACACGAGACTGAGCATCCTTGATGCTGTTCCGGTAGGCGCGACTGAAGGGGGCATCCAGCAGGGGCGACTCGGGCGAGCCGGGCCTGTCCCGCCACTCGGGCTCCCTCTCTGGCTCGCTGGAGAGCTGGAAGGTGCTCTGGCTGCGGAGGAGCCGAGCATCCGGCCTCTGGGGGCCACGGCCGCTGTCCGAGGCTCCTCCGCTCAGCTGCTGACCACAGGGCTGCCGGGAAGCCTCTTCCAACGTCAGCTCCCCGTTTTTGAAGTGCTGCTCCCCGTTGCCTAGGGGTTCAGCTGACTCAGAGAAACGGATGTGGGCTTTTATCTCCTCGAAGTCATTCCCAGAAGTACTGGAAGTTGAGACTGTCCTGTGGGGCCTATAGTTCTGGCCAAAACCGGAGCCGCCCACACTCGGTCTCTGGCTCCCTTGCTCTCGCTGCTCGAATTTGGAGACCTTCTCCAGCACCGAGCAGTGGGGCTTCCCGTACTGAAAGCCCTGAAGAGCCGAGGCGCTGCCTGGGCCGGGCCCCCTCCGGCCGAGACTGGATGTGTGCGGGTGCGAGGCGGCAGGCAGCTCTTCAGGCCTTGGGTCTGTGCTGTGGAAAGAGGCCGAGGCACCGGTCCTCCCCTCGGGCCGCGGGTAGGAAAGCTGCCGGTCCAGATGGCTCCCAAGGTCAGGAGCGGCTTTCCTCCCAGGGTCTTCTGCCTTGGTGTTGACTGCACAGGTGGGCCTGCCTCCCGGGTAACCCTCCTGGGCTCCCCGGCCTAGCTCCAGGCTGCTGTGTCTTCTCAGACTCTCAGGAATGTTCTGGAGAGATGAGAAGGCTGACTTGGTCTTGCCAAAGTTGCCTGACAGGCTCTGGCCTACGCCTTCTCTCTCCAGCCTCCTCCAGAGGTTGGCATTGTGGTCTTCCTGGAAATCACCCTCCCAAGGCTCTGAGAGCCTGGAAGACCTCTTGTCTTCACCCGCTGGCCAGGCCTGAGCCTGAGGGCATTTGAGGCCGTGGGGATGAGAAGATGGTTTGTTGCTGTGGGTGCTCTTTCTCTCATTGGAATGTGGGCTGTTGCCTTGGGGAGGTGTGAGATGTCTCTTCAGGGAGGCATCCTCCTCATTTTCAGGCACTGAAGAAAAATGGACTTTGGAGGGGACATACTTGACTGTAGCTTCTGGTTTCTTCTCCACTGGGGACAGCAAGTCATGTTCTAAGGGCTGGCAAAAGGCAAACCCAGGCCTGCTAGATCCATTCTGGTTCCCATTCTCATCAATGGTAGCCATCTTGTTGCACGCTCCCTGAGGGGCTATGTATCCACTCTCCTTGGCCAGTGCAGGGTACACCAGACCGTTGCTACTCACAGAAGGCTGAGGCACCTGGGCAAAGTGTGGCTCCAGGGAAGGTACAGGGTAGATGCTGGTCGGCAGCAGAGGTTGGCCAGGTTGGGCCTTCTGGGTATAGTTATGCTTGGGCTTCACTGGGGGGCTGTTCTCTGGACTCTTCTCCAGCACAGTATGCAGCTGCTCCTCTATGAATGGAGACTTCAGGGAGCCTAAAGAGTTTGCCTGAGGCCGGCAGAGCCGTTTCTGATCAAGGCTAGACCAGGAGCTGGGCCGCTCACGGTGCCGAAATGCTGCATAACTGTCACTCCGAGCTGGAGGCAGGGGTGCACCCACCTTAGGAGGAAGGTTGTCCGTGGCAGTCTCCAAGGAACTGGGGCACTGCTGGCTCCAGGATGGGGGTGGCACTCCCTTGCCCCGAGGAATATTAGACCATTTATCATAGCCCTGACCATCTGCTGAGGCTCGGGCCTCCCTACCTTGAAGCAGCAGGGCTGAAGAGTTCACCTCATACTCTGCTGAGACTCCCCTCCGGGTGTCATAGACTGTCTTGACATAGCGAATATCTGCCTGCCTCATCCCTTCAAGGAGGCCACCTCGAGCAGAAGTATTGTCCATGGAGCTTGAACGCTCCCGGGCAGAGATGCTAGGGGGCGGATACTCCAGGATGCTAGAACTGGTGGAGAAAGAGCTGTAAGCCGAGTCTCTCTTGTTATGGAAGTGGCTGAGCTGGTCAATGCTGCCGGTGGACTTGGCAGGGGAAAGATGACAGGGTGGGTATGCCCCACTGGGCTCCAGGCTCTCCATGCTCCCCTGAGAGCTGCACTGGTCAGGGCTCCGCCTTAGATAGGCATGGTCATAGTTGGAGAGGTCACTAGTAGAGGAGCTGGAAGAAAGGGAGACAAAGCAGTCAGCACCACTGAGCTGTTATCATTTAGTAGGCTTACAGGCAGAGGACCCAGCTTATAAATGTTCTCTTGTGCAAGAGGTTTGGTGTTTGGAAGGGTGGGTAAAAAGGGCCATATTTGGGCCTTGCTCAGCCTCCTTGTTTGTCATCGCTAGGAGTAACTGCCCAACACTCTAACCTATTTGCCTCCAATTAATCACCCAGGCTAGCAAGGAGGAATGAGGAGCACAGAGGAAGCCACGTGGCCTTTGGGCACAGGCAGCACTTTGATGTGATTTGCTGCATGCTGGAAATGACATTCCGCATGCGCCAAGAAATGAGAGAGGTGGAAGAGTGATTGAGACCGAAATTGTGTATCTGCTGGGGTTGTTTGTGTGAAGAGGAGAAAAGCTTAGTAAGAGAATAGGCATGGGTGAAGGAGACTTTGTGTGCACATGTGTATGTTTTTAGTTAATATCTTTCCTTTTTATGGAATTGAAGGATACACCCTGGCAATCTTCCTGGAATCTCAACTGCACTAGAAACAATTTGTTTGTGGTAAGAAAGCTAAACACAAAGCTGAATGAGAGAAATTAGAGTCAGAAAAAGCTCATGAGAGGCAGAGAGAAGGGGAAAGAGGGAAGGAAAGGGAAGCTTTATGAGAAGGCTTAATCATAGGGGCTCTTGGGTGCTGGGATTCCATCACCTGTGGATGACTTCCAAAAGCCAAAGCAAAGCCTCCTCATACATTTAGGAGGGCAAGGCCTTCTCATTTACAAGCTCCTCCAGATGGTTTTCAGAGCCCGTCTGGAGAAGAGGAAAAAGACTATCAATCATGGCATTGTAAACTCCAGACAGTTGTCTCAAAATAAAATTACTTATAAACTCTCTCTCTCTATATATATATATTAAAATCACTTAAAATTCGACAATAAGAAAGCAACCTGATTTAAAAACTGGCCAAAGACATCCTAAGAAGATATACAGATGGCGAATAAGCAAATGAAAAGGCTGTCATCCTAAGTCACTAGGAAATTACAAATTAAAACAACAAGATACTGGGGAACATGTTCTCAGGACCTCCTGAGGGCTGTGTCATACGCAAAAACAAAAAACCACCAAACCAAACCAAGATACCACTACACACCTATTAGAACAGCCAAAATCCAGAACATTGGCAACACCAAATGCTGGTGAGGATGTGGAGCAAGAGAAGATCTCATTCATTGCGGGTGGTAATGCAAAATGGCACAGCCACTTTTAAAAGAAGTTTGGCAGTTTCTTACAAAATTAAACATACTCTTACCATAAGGTCCAGTGATCACATTCCTTGGCATTTATCCAAAGGAGCTGAAAACTCATGTCCACACAAAAACCCACACATGGATGTTTACAGCAATTTTATTCATAATTGCCAAAACATGGAAGCAACAAGGCTGTCCTGCAGTAGGTGAATAAACTGTGGTATATCTACACAATGGAATATTATTCATTACTTAAAAAAAGAAAATGCTGTCAAGCCATGAAAAAAAAATGAAGGAAACTAAAATGTATTTTACTAGATGAAAGAAGCCAGTCTGAAAAGGCTACAAACCATATGATTCCAACTACATGACTGACATTCTGGAAAAGGCAAAACAATGGAGACAATAAAAAGATCAGTGGTTGCCAGGTCTTAGGGGCGATGCAAGGAGGAACGGGTGGAGCACAGAGGATTTTTAGGGCAGTGAAACTATTCTGTATGATACTATAATGGTGGATACATGCCATTATACATTTGTCCAGACCTACAAAATGCACAACAGCAACAGTGAACCCTAATATAAACTATGGACTTTGGGTGATTATGATGTGTCAATGTAGGTTTATCAGTTGTAAGAAATGTACTACTCTGGTGGGGGCTGCTGATAATGGAGGAGGCTATGCATGTATGGGGACAGGGACTATATGGGAAATCTCTGGGCTTTCTGTTCAATTTCACTGTGAAACTAAAACTGCTCTAAAACATGTCTGTCTCTGTCTCTCTATAAATACACATGGGGAGGGCATATAGGAAGGAATAAGTGGTTCCAATGTTTGTGACTCACTGTTCTCTAAAGAAGAGTAAATCACTAGAAGTTCTTGCCCAAGATTTTCTATTTTTAAATGGATAGGCATTTCAACCCTATTAAAATTCATGATGTATTCTTATATTTCTAGATCACATGTAAATAAATGTAGTGTCTTATTGGCCAAGTATGTGATAATGCCTTGTGGCTGGAATATCTCCAGATAATATGTTGAGACTAGAAGAACCATATTCTGAGTCAAAATTTGTGCTGGAATTTAAGGAAAAGAAGGACCACACTTTCAGCAGCTCTCCTCAAGAATGTAATTTTTCTGTATCAGAGAAAGTCAGCTTACTGAATGGCACATCCTACTTTGGGATGGATAGGTATAAATTCAAGGGAGAAAGGAAGGAAATAGCTCCCAAACCAGCCAGATGAGGGAAATCAGACCCGGTACTCAATGGCATGGCATATGTCAAAGATTCTACCCTCTACCCCGAATTTCTTCATTCCTTTCTAAATAAAGAGGTTGTACTAAAGAGGCATTAGACAGCCTTGTTGTGGATAATCTTATATGACCCAGTCTGCTTCCTTTTTAGAGCTAATACTTCCAGGGGAAATGGAACCCCATAAGGGCTGTTTCATTCACCATTTCTATGAAGGTAGGAAACATTAGGTAATCCTCCTCCCAACTGCTGAGAATTTTAGCAGTCTTTCATTGAAAGGATAATTCAAATCTAACTTAGGAACACACACAACAAATCAAAGTAAATAAACTGATAGTTAACTGAAACACTACTGAGTGGGGAAAATACTATCCTTAACATATCTTTTTTTGTTTGTTTGTTTGTTTTTTTCTTTGAGATAGAGTCTCGCTCTGTCGCCCAGGCTGGAGTGCAGTGGCGTGATCTTGGCTCACTGCAACCGCTCTCTCCCACGTTCAAGTGATTCTCCTGCCTCGGCCCTCCAAGTGGCTGGGATTACAGGTGTGTGCCACCACACCCAGCACATTTTTGTATTTTTAGTAGAGACGGGGTTTCACCATGTTGGCCAGGCAGGTCTCAAACTCCTGACCTCAAATGATCCACCCTCCTTGGCCTCCCAAAGTGCTGGGATTACAGGTGTGAGCCATGGTCTAACATATCTTAAAATATAGATGGTGTCTATAAATATGAAATCTCTGTTACACATATCTCTAGAATCAGACCAGTGCAAGGGTATAGTGGGTTCCTTCCTGTAGCAAACCTAAGGCAGAAAGGCCATCATGGAAGGCCTCTGTCAGGTGCTCTCCCTCCTACCCAGAGAGGGTTCTGTCCCTTCGGAATTACCATTCCCAAGCTGCCTGGGGAATACAGGCGCTGATATCACTCTCTAGGATAAGTTCTTCCACTGTTTTCTGGAAATATTCATTTTTATTACCTTTGCCATTGATACCTCCAAAATGGCACTTTTAGCGATGGGTAAGAAAACTTGGAATGAAGGTTCTCAATCCTGCAACAATTCCAACTCACATAAAACCAGCCTTACTGTCAAGAGGGGTGCATCTTGAGTGGATCAAAGTTCTTACCATGGTCTGACTACTTCTCCAGCCTTTTTCTTTCGCTCTTCTTCTTGCACCCTGCACTCCAGCATAATAGTATCCCTGCTGAAACTCAAACCCAGGAAATTTGTTCCTATCTCAGGGTCTCAGAGTCTTTGTACTCACTGCACCCACCACCTGGAATGCTCTTCACCTGGCTTACTCCCTCCTTTCATTCAGAGAGGGCCTCCTGGAACTAACTAAAGAGTATCTCTTCTCTCCTTTGTGCCTGTTACCCTGCTTTATTTTCTTCACAGCACTTACCACTACTTGACATTATATCATATCCCGTTGGTTATGTGAAAGAGACTGCAACTGTATCTATAATATTTAAAGAACTGAAGTGCACATAAAATGCTTGTTAATTCTGTGGTAGATATATGTATTCTTACAATATCATTCTATTTTGTGTGTTTAAAAGTATTTTAAACACAGGTATCTACCAGGTATGGTGGCTCACGCCTGTAATCCCAGCACTTTGGGAGGCTGAGGTGGGAGGATCCCTTGAGCCCAGAATGTCAATGCTGGAGTGAGCCTTGATCACATCACTACACCCCAGCCTGGGCTACACAGTGAGAACCATCGCAAAAAAAAAAAAAAAAGTTATTGTAAAAATATTTAAAACATAGAGCACAAAATAAAGTGTATGAAAACATTTCCTAAAGTGTGCTCACAGAACACTAATTCCTTAGATGATTAAATATGTTTGGAAAATACTGACCTAAATAAGCTAAACAATTTTATTGACTGCAAGATTTCTGAGTCTTTTATAAACTGTTGTTCTCCCAAACCATTTTTCAGGTGTTGTTCTAAAAGAGAAATATATAATACTAAGAGATGTTTTCTAAACTTACTTGATCCCAGAAACTTTTTTTTCCTAAGGAGTATCTAGTGGACTGTTATTCCACGGAACACATTTTGTGAAACAAATATTGTGGTGTAGGGGGCTTTTTATGTCTTGTTCACCATTGTACTCCCAATACCTACAAAGCATCTGAGATATTGTGGGTGTTCATACAGATTTGTTGAATGAATGAATCACTGATTTGATATTGCTATTTCAGCCTCTTGTCAGGGGGCTGGACTACATAACTTTTCAAGGACTCTTCTAAAGTACTTTTGGGTGAGATTTCCGTAGGGCAGCAAAAACAGAATGTCAAGGGTCTGATAGAAAGCAGCTGAAATACAATTTCAGTGAAATTCCAAATCCAACCTAGCTCACAGTTAAATTACACATTTTCAGTCTCAGTCTCTCCATACTTCTCTTTCTCTCTCTCTCTCTCACTTCACTCCTGTCCCTCCCTCATCCTCTCACCCCCTCATACGCCTGCTTCTCAACAAGAAACAGATCCATAAATTCAGGACTGAGATTGGTTTCTGGAACTTAAACTAAGGCTGTCAGAGAGATACCAGCCACCTGATGTGGCACACTGGACCACTAGATGCCACTGTTCTCCTCAGAAACGGGAGGAGCACCTCTGCACCTGCAGCTGCCAAGATCAGACCCCACAGGTGGAACTTGGCATGGGCCAAGCCCTCTGCCAGAGCTGCAAGCCTCAGGCATGGAATGAACAGAGCACAGGGTGGTTTGTGCTGCAGCAGGAGAGAATGCACACGTCTGTAACGTTTTGGGTTATTTGAACTTTCCTTTCTCCTTTTGTCCACATGTAGTGCTTTTGTGCTGACGGTCCTTGTGTCAGGGGGAACTATTTTGAAGCTTGAATCAGAGAGACAGAGTGGTAGATACAACACAAGGGCAGATCCACCTGCCTAAGCCCTCTGGAGGCTGGGATGCTGAGGAGGGGGGAGGAGGTGCAGAAGTACAGCCTTGAAAATACTGTACTTCTGGTGCTGATGGCCCCATTCCCCTGAGGCCTGTCGGAGCTCACCATAGTTACTGTAAGCAGTCATTCTAAGCACTGATTGCAGCACTTATTTCTGCTGAAGGGCCAGCACATTTTTTAAGTCACAATATGGCTTTGGATTTAGGACTTCGTAAGAAGGTTAGGAGTAAGGACACTCAAAGACCCCACTGTTGAAGGGCACTCTGTTAATACATACACACCTGCATTTATAAGTGTGTGCCGGCCATTCACTATCAAGTTCAGTACCAGGTTTCATGGTGTCCTGAAGTCTTCAGCTTAATTATTATAATCAGTCATCATTCATTGAGTGCTTACTGTGTACTTAAGAATTGCACATATGCTATTTTATATAATCCTCACAACAATCCAATGACGTAGGTACTAGTTATTTTTTACAGAAAAAGAAGCCAAGATCAAAGGTTAAATGATTTGCTCAAGCTTACACCATAGGGGGAAGGGGAGATTTAAACCTTTGACTTAAAGGCCCAGTCCCTTACCACTATGCTATTCTTCCTTCATTGTTAGACTCCACACACCTTATCTTCTAAAGGCCCTCAACACCTCCATGCCTGTAAAGCACAAGCAGTCTGCCTTTGTCAAGGGTCAGGAGACACTGCTAGGAAACCTGCTGTCTGAGAACAGATGGCTCAGACGGTGAGAATAATTTCTTTCAGGGTGATTGGGAGGGACATGAGCAAGGGAGAGAAGCATCTGTAACCAGGAGGGAACCAGGACATTATCTCTTCCTGTGGCCCGAAGCCTACCCTGATATGCTGAGAAAGGTTTGTCCTGTTCAATTCCATGAGCTACTGTTCATCAGTGAGAGGTCTAGGATTTGGCCCTTGACTTGACCAGACATGAGCATTAAGGGCTGTGACTGAGTTCTGGCCTTGCCAAATGCATAGGTACCATCTGTTCATTAAGTAATCCTTCCAGAAGCTTCCAGCCTCCCCTCTTCCCCCCAACACACATGCACACACACACCAACACTTGCACCTCCTTTGTATGTAAGGACTAAGTGACCCTTATTTTCCTGCCCTTGCTACCATTAGCTCTATCTAAGCATTTCCCAAAAGTGATAAGCTACGGAGTCTGACTCCCTGAGATCAGAAGATAGATTTCAGTTTGTATGGGTCCCAAGTCTGAAGTGGAGGGGAGTCCTGGCGTAGTTCTCTCTAATGTGCGGTGGTGGTCAGGCTGTGCTCCCTCCTTCTATAACCCCTCTCCTAAACCACTTGTGAGGGCTCTCCTTCCTCACCAAACCTTCACCCATACGACAGTAGCTAGAAAAACAGAGGAAGTATAATCTACTGATTACATGCAGCAGCTTTGAAACCTGGCTTGGATTTGTCTTGACTTGGATACTGATCAGTTGTTTGCGCTTGGACAAACTAATCTTTCCAAGCTTAAATTTCCTTTTTTTTTTTGAGCTGGAGTCTCACTCTGTTACCCAGGCTGGAGTGCAGTGGCACAATCTGAGCTCACTGCAACCTCCATCTCCCAGCAGGTTCAAGTGATTCTCCTGCCTCAGTCTCTCGAGTAGCTGGGATTACAGGTTCATGCCACCGCACCTGGCTAATTTTTGTATTTTTAGGAGAGACAGGGTTTCACCATGTTGGCCAGTCTGGTCTTGAACTCCTGACCTCAGGTGATCTGACCTCCTTGGCCTCCCAAAGTGCTGGGATTACAGGAACGAGCCACTGCACCCAACCCCAAGCTTCAATTTCCTATTCTGCAAAATGGGGTTAATACTACTGTATCTGTTTTAAAGAAGTCTATGAGTCACTACATGAGATAATGTATACACTGAGTGGTCCTCAGTACGTCAGTTGTTGTGCTGTTGGAGCTAAGATGGACGAACTACCTTAACTGAAAGAGCAAAATCAAGTGGGGAGTTCAAACACATGAATAAAAATGGATACGGTTTTGACTACAGCAGAAAGCACACTTAAGCAATGAAGGAAGAAAAATCTCAATTTGTCTAATATAGTGCTATCAGTGGAGAAATGTCTGAGAACTGATGGACTCCATAAATATCTCAAATGGCCTGCCAGGGCTTCAAATAATTCTGATCTTCAAGTTGATCTAGCCCAGCATATAAAGGTAACTCATATACACATCAAACACTGTAAGAGGATGAGAAAAGCAGCTGATAGAGATTTAATATTTAATGTGAGTATAAGAAAAAATGTTCTCAAAACAGAGAAGAAAAAATTCTTTTCTGGGAACATGACATTAGAAAGAAAGAAACCCTTTGGTCTCAGCTATAGCAACTTACCTGGAATGGTAGCTTTGGTGCCAAGGAGGGCCGATCATACCCTGAGATATCTGCATCATGCTGGCATCGGGTTGCTTCTCCCCAGACTTAGTTGTGTGCCACGAGTGAGGTCGGCCTGCAGGCTCACTGCGCCTGGGGAGACACAGGAGGGACCCCCCAACGTTAGCCAAAGTCTCAGCTGAGTCTCCTCACCGATGTGACTTGTGGATTTGGAAGCAAACACTCTGTGTCCTCAGAGATTGAAAAGCAACCAAGTCAATACTAAGAAGAAGATTTTGCTACTTATTTCTGTGACTAATCATTGCTATTCTCTGCTTAACTTGTAAAAATTTTTACTTATTTTGACATAATTTCAGACTTGCATTAAAATGTTGCAAAATTAGTGTAAAGAATTCTCACATAATCTTTGCCTAGATTTCCTACATGTTAACATTTTATACTTTATTAATGTAAAGCACACAGAGTTGCCTTGGTCCCTCTTGGTCTCTATCTATCCATATATAAAAATGGGAGCCCACAATTCCTTTCCATTTCCCAAAGGGCTTTCGATATACGGTAAAACATTTTCTGGGGATTTTGAAGTCCTCTGTCATATCCTGTTGCTGGATAAATGATACTATTACTTTCTTGGTAAGAACTGCATAAACATTAGCAGTAACCTCAGTGTGAACACTGCTGTAAGCTACGTGGTCTGGAGAACAAAGTGCTCTCTAAAATTTCTCATTTTGCAAGTCAATGACTTCAACTTTTAAACATCCTGCCCTTACAACACAAAGAATTGACAAAGACAAAGGGAAAATGTGGGTGTCCTTCATACTGCAACACTGAAGAATGAATTCGGGAAGGAAGCTTGCACTACTATAGAAGGTCAGTCAGGAGAGAGTTGCTGTGCCTTATTTTTGGCAAAAAAAAGTCAGGTAATCTATCAGGCATTTCATGCTGAAAATTCTTGAACTGTAAGACTGTAGGAGAATTTTTCTGCAGTTTAGAAACATATGGGATCCAGGAATCCATTTGGATATGATGAAAATAATAACTGTAAGTTATTCCAACTCATTGTACTTGGCCTTGTAGCTGAAAATGCACCTATCCCTTTTCTATGAAAAAATAAATTAGTTTTTGTAATATAAATGAAAAACAATTCCCCTGAAGCCAATAAAATTTAATGTATTAGGACATCAGAAAAATACTAGACCAGGTGTCAGGAGATCTGGGCTCTTGCCCTGACTTTGTTATTAACTTGCTGTCTGACCTTATGTGAGTTACTTCCCCTTCTTAGCTAAGCCTTTGCTCATCTAGAAAGTGAGAAGATTCATCAGAGGCTGGATTAACCGCATCTTAATCTAAAATAACTTTAAAAATACAGCAGACACTGAAGAGCTTCTCAAAACGGATGATGACTTAAAACACTCACACTCACACACACACACACACACGCACACACATATATTTCAACTCCTTAAAGAGAGATTAGGGTGATAGGAAAATGTTCTTGTGTGAAGCAAGGGAAACAAATATACAAGTTTTTTTTGTTTTTGTTTTTGTTTTTTAAACAGTCAGTCAACAAAGATTTACTGAATTGAAGGAGCCTGTAGTCAGGTGGACTAATGCTTGAGTTGCCAAATAGGTCAGGAAAAGTGAGAAAAATTCAACTCTCTCTCAAGAGAGGAAGAGAGGCTGGAATGTAGCTAAAGCTATCAGCTCTGAGATAAGACAAACCTGGGTTCTAATCCAGTTAAACTGAATACCACTGGTTTTAGCTTTTAGATCTCAGGTAAATTTCTTAATCGCACTGAGTTTCCTTCTCTATAAAAGGCAGATTATAGTTGAACCTATTCACAGGGGTTTTGTGAGATTGAAAATGAGAAAACACAACTGGCCCATAGTAAGAGCTCAAAAAATGTTAAGTCTTATTATCATCATTCATTATTAATAAGTTGATGAAGAGTAGACAGGGTAGGGAGACAAGCCTTTAGAGATCTCTAAAAGGAAGGATGGTAAATGATGAGGGAGATGGGAATGGGCAGGAACCACTGGTGCTGATGAGGCGCCCGGCCCCGAGCTCCCCAGAGAGGTATTGAGTCAATAATTATAGCAGAGTCTGGCCTGAGACTTACCATGGTCACAGCCTGTCGGACCCTGGCCATGGGGGTGAGGAAGGAAGCCATCAGAGCAGTGGCTGTGACCTGAAATAACAGGGGTAAACATAGGCCAAAAAGAAACAGACCTTGCCCACCTGGAAACTATAAAGGAACAAAAAGGAGCAGGTGCACAGCTTGGGCTACAGAGATGAAGTAGATGCAAAATCAAGACATCAACAGCAGAAGCCAATATATGATAATTTGTTTGCCTCCTTGTCCCCATAGGTATTAGTTCATTCTCACGCTGCTGATAAAGACATACCTGAGACTCGGCAATTTACAAAAGAAAGAGGCTTAATGGACTTACACTTCCACACGGCTGGGGAGAGGCCTCAGAATCATGGCAGAAGGCAAGGAGCAGCAAGTCACGTCTTACATGGATGGAAGCAGGCAAAGAGAGAGAGAGCTTGTGCAGGGGAACTCCTCTTTTTAAAACCTAGATCTCATGAGACTTATTCACTATCATGAGAACAGCATGGGAAAGACTTGCCTCCATGATTCAATTACCTCCCACCGGCTCCCTCCCACAACACGTAGGAATTAAAGGTGAGATTTTGGTGGGCACACAGCCAAACCATATCACCTCTTTAATCCTCATTAACAGGTCCCATGTAATCACTAAACCTTGAAGTTTAGCACTGCTGCCCAGGCTGGAGTGCAGTGGCACGATCTCAGCTCACTGCAACCTCCACCTCCCGGGTTCAAGTGATTCTCCTACTTTAGCCTCCTGAGTAGGAGGCTGGAACTACAGGCACATGCCACCATTACTGGCTAATTTTTTTTTGGTAGAGATTTGAATGGAGACACAGCCAAACCATATCACCATACCTCTCTAATCTTCATTAACAGGTCCCATGTAACCACTAAACCTTGAAGTTCAGCACTGCTGTCCAGGCTGGAGTGCAGTGGCGCAATCTCGGCTCACTGCAACCTCTGTGTCCCAGGTTCAAGTGATTCTCCTACCTCAGCCTCCTGAGTGGGAGGCTGGAACTACAGGCACACACTACCATGACTGGCTAAATTTTTTTTTTTTTTTTTTGATAGAGACGGGGTTTCACCGTGTTGGCCAGGCTGGTCTCAAACTCCTGGCCTCAACTGATCCGCCTGCCTTAGCCTTCTAAAGTTGAATCAACTTTTTTTTTTTTTTTTGAGATGGAGTCTTGCTCTGTCGCCCAGGCTGGAGTGCAGTGGCACAATCTCAGCTCACTGCAACCTCTGCCTCCCGGGTTCAAGCAGTTCTGCTGCCTCAGCCTCCTGAGTAGCTGGGATTACAGGCATGTGCCACCAAGCCTGGCTAATTTTTTGTATTTTTAGTAGAGATGGGGTTTCACCATATTGGCCAGGCTGGTCTTGAACTCCTGACCTTGTGATCTGCCCACCTTGGCTTCCCAAGGTGCTGGAATTACAGGCATGAGCCACCGTGCCTGGCTGAATCAACCTTTTTCACAGCGCAGGTAGGCAGAGAGCCTGAGGGTTCATGGCTCAGTATCTTAGCAATTCAGCATTCTTGCTGCTAGTCCTTCTCTAATTTTGGACACCAAAGTCCCCAGAAACTAGGCTGCTGCATCTTCAACCAGTTCCTTGAAGATAGGCTGCCTCACTGACTTAGATTCCTGGTTTCTCACCTTGTTCTATCCAATGATTAGAAATCCTTCCTAGTGTTCTAAACCCGTCAGGGGCTGGCCCGAATCACACAGTAAGTCTGGGAGTAAGGTTTTAAACCCAGTTATATATGACTTCAGGTACTCAACAAATGCCACTGCTTAATCACATAGCAAAGACCCAGCCTCAGTGAAAAAATAAAGTCTCTTTGCATGAGATACCTAGAGGCATTTTATGTATGTATCACTTTAGACCCCAGTGGGCCCAAAATACATTAGGAGAAAGATGAGAAAGAACAAACTGTCATCTTCCTACTGCTGATTCCCACTACTTAGTGAAGAGAGTTTTGGCAGAATCACTCTCAGTAGTACAAATTAGCCCTGGGACTAGGTATTGGCCTTGAGAAGCCAATGGACACCAATGGATGGTGACCTCAGACCAGCACCACGTGACACTAAGGATGGCTCTTCAGTGACTTCATCACCTAACGGTATCTGTCCATGCCTAGCTAGATGCCAAGAAGATTTTCCCACCCAAGAGAAATAGAAACTGATAAATTCCATAGGCTCCACGGGAAAAAAGATGCCTTTTCCTGTCAAGGAGATGAGGTGTGAGACAATGTTTACTGATAACTTCAGGGGTTCCAGATAGGCCCTCTGGTTTGCTTATGCCTATAAGCCGAGTTACTTGGGAGGCTGAGGCAGGGGGCTCAATTTTTTTTTTTAATTAGCTGGGTGTGGTAGCATCCACCTGTAGTCCCCACTACTCAGAGGCTGAAGTAGGAGAATCACTTGAACCCAGGAGTTCGAGGCTGTAGTGAGCAATGACTGTGTACCACTGCACTCCAGCCTCCAGAGAGATGGTTTATTTTATTTTATTTTATTTTATTTCATTTTAGATGGAGGGGATGGGAGTGGAGAGAGAGAAGAGGAAATGAGCAGGATGCAGATAGCTAATTCTGGGGCATGTGAATGAGTGCCTGTGGAACTTTCAGTGGAGAGGTGTGGCAAGGAGAGGGACTAGAGGACTGAGGGCTTGGCTGCATATAGAAATTTATGAGTCACAAAACACAGGGCCTTTGAGAGAAAATAAGTGACTTGGGGAGAATGAACAGGGAGACAAAGGAAATAGTTTAAGGACGAGTCTCTGAGAACGGTCAAAATTTAGGGGAGAGGGAGCCTGGGAAAAAGCCCAAGAAAAGCTTCCACAGAAGAGGGAGGAAAACAAGTTAAGTATGGAAGTCTCACAGATTTCTAGTGGGGAGAGTGAGGAGGAGGAGGAAACTGTCAACCACTGCAAGGCTGTAAAGAAGTTAGTGTGATGAGGGGAGATGCATGGCCACTGGACTTGGCAACTAGCAAGTCCTCGCAATGGCATGATTTAGGATGG